GCGAGAACCACGTAAGGTGCCCGCCGGAGCCTCCCTCCCCACCTGCCTCTGCTTCCCCCGGCAGAAACTTCACCGCTCCCTCACGCACGGTCCGGGCTTCTCCGGGGGAGCTTGGCACCGACAGCCGCATGCATGACACTCCGAAAAGGAGAGAAAATGACCATAAGTATCCAGGAGCACATGGCTATTGACGTCTGTCCCGGCCCCATCAAACCCATCAAGCAGATCTCTGACTACTTCCCTCGCTTCCCCCGCGGGCTCCCTGCCGCCGTCGGCCGCAGCAGCACCCTGCGCTCCGCCGTCAGCCAGCCCTCCGTCAGCCCGGCCGAAGCCCCTCGCGAGGAGGACGAGGACGTTGATCAGCTTTTTGGGGCGTATGGCACGACACCCGCCGAGCAGCCAGCCAAGTGCCAAGCACCCGAGGAGGTGGTGGACCCCGAGGGCTACGAGTCCGACGACTGCAGTGAGTTCCTAAGTTTCCATGGGAGTTTGCTGTGTGCTGAGGGCAGGGGTGGGTTTTAGGAGTGACCCCCCATCCTGCTGCCTGAGCCGTGTGCCCTTCCCAGCTGCCGACCACGCTGTCCATCCCTGGGATTACACTGCAGCAGTGACAAGCCCTCTGCTCTAGCCAGGGAGGCTGTCACAGCAGGGCTCCGGCGCTGCCCCTGGGTGGAGGGAGGCCCTGGGAGTGTCCCTACTGCAGCCAGGCTGCCCGCTGAACCCAAACTAGGGAAGTCTCCCAAGAGCCACCAGTTGCTGTGCTTTGCCGTTGTGGTTGATGCACTTCTCTGCCTTGTCCCTGCTCAGCTCTTTGCCTCTGAAAGCTGCCAGCTGGGCTCAGACACTTCGGTTAATCTGTCTCAGTGGTGCAGCCTGCTCCAGCCACCCTGCTGATTAGCTGGCGATACGCTCCAGCATCGCCCAGTTCCAGATCAGGGAGATTTGTTTGGAATGACATCCGCCCAGGAAATCTGTGCCCTCTCCATCGGCAAACTCTGGCGTGCCATTCCTCACCCTCCAGCTGCAGACAGAGCCCTGCACAAGACCAGGGGGGGCTTTTGAACAGAAGGCTTTGGTTCTGGTAGATGCAGGTGTTTGCAGTGAGGTTTAACCCCTCCCCACCCAAAATGTCCTTCCCACCCGGCTCGGTGGAGCTTGCAGGCTGCAAAGCAGCTGCTGTCTGGCTCTGGCAGCCGCGGTGGCTGGGATAGCGACGCTTTCCTTGAGGTCGGTTAAAATGCAAGGTCTCAATTCAGCCCAGCCTTTAGGGGTCAGATCCTGCCAGGGGCTGAGCACAAAGTTTGAAGCCGGGAGGTGCTGAGGAAGGGAGTCAGTGCTGCTGAGAGGTGCTGTGTGCTCGTCCTGGGGGAAGGAGCAGGCTGAACTCCCACAACACTGAGCTGTTTACGGCCCAGCACCGGGCAGGCGGTGGCTTTCCCTGTACAAAATGTCACAGCCCTGCCTTGGCATCGCTCCCTCGCTGCCGGGCGCTGGGCTGCTGCCATCTCTGCCAGACCCTGGAGCAGGAACCCGGGGAGAGCTCCCTGAAGGGCTGTGCTTGCTGGAAGGCAGCTCCACTGCCCCCGTGCCCCCTCTGCCTGCTGACCACCAGCCACGGCTCCGGGAGAGGCTGGGGGC